GGAGCAAGGTTAGAAAGTTGCGCATGTCAGGCGAGCCAGCGTGGTGAATTACAGTCACTATTCCTCTCCGGACCCAGAAGATCCCCTCCTTGGTGTCCTTGCTGCGCACGCAGTGGCCAGGATCGCCACAGCTATGCAGGATTTCTTGATGAAGCGTGTTCAGGCCACTGGCTTGATAAGAATTGAGCCTCCCAGCAACACCCAGTTGCCGGCGCTGAAGCAGTACGAATATTGGCAGATCACTGGCAAGATCCAGGTCCGCACCCTTGACCCCGAAGCGGACACCGTGACTGGCTTGCACACATGCACCTGTCTGTCATAAGATGCTGCCACATCATTGCTCAAAAGCTAAGGCCAAAGCCACCGCCAAGGCGGCCGCTAAGGCCGACAAGAATGAGGGCAAGGCTGAGAAGCCAGATGTAAATGCGCCAAGTGGGGCCGTGCTTGTGGGCAACAAAGCGCCAAGGAAGCGAAAGATCACGGCAAAGGCCAAACCGATCGCCGTGCCAGATGTGAACAACGATACGTCCGGTGTGGAGGCAGCCTCAGATCAGGAAGAGGACGCCACAGACGGCGAGGAGGATGCAGGTGAGGATGACTTGGACTCAGCAGCTTGGATGCCTTAGCTGAGCTAGTGTGACCAACATGTGAAGCTGAGTGGCTCGCAAGATTCCTAGTGGAAGCCGGCAGCAAGACTGAGGCACTAAACGCACTTGAAGAAAGCATAAAGACGCCGACAAAGGTAACCAAGAAGGGCCGGCCAAGCAAGTCTGCCAAGAAGGGCGCCAAGTGAGGTCTTTCATATTGCGGTTGCAAGTTATGCGAGATGGTTCTAAGCAATTAGGTGCACCAACAGCACCAGAGTCCATGACCATTTTGCTGTGTGATGAACATGCCCTTCTTGCATGGATGAGACCTCAGCTGCATGGCCTAATTTTGATGCGCGCCAAGCTCTTTCTGCTGCTAAGCTGTCACAGAGTTGATTTGGAAACACACTCCTTTTCTTGGTTTTGGTGCTTGGGTCGCGGCAGTGTGCGCTGCACACGAGTTTTGGCACGCCAGAGCTATAAGAAGAGTCTCACTCCCAAGCCGACCATCGGGGGAAACCACGGTTGAAATATGTCGTGCCATTGCTTCCCAGGCAAGCGCAACAAGCAGTTAAGCAGCGCATCATGCGTGTCTTGTGACAACTACTTGCTGGCCAGGCTGATGCTGCCACTCCACTTGCCCGGAGGCCCGTTTGGTTCGGCAACAAAGTGGATTGGCACACATCAACATATAATGTGCGCGTTAGGGATTGTTCCTGCTTCGCAGGCACCCCCTGCGCAGCTTCACCGCCACAGCGGCCAGCCGACTCCAAGGCCGAGTCAGCGCTTACAGGATTGAGGGAGCTGTGTGGTCCACTTGCTAAAAGATGTGCTCGTGTGCTTCATGGCGTAGTGGTCCAAGGTTTGTTGCATTCTGAATGATGAAGCTAGCACAGGTCTCATGCTTTCTTGTTAAAACCATATGCCAGGCAGCTCAGTCTACAGTCGCAATCTTGTTGTTATAAGTGTGGTTTCAAATAACATTTTATGCGCAATGTTTCTTAGCGGGGGCTCTTTGCTTTGTGATGGCTGCGCAAGAGTTGCAGCGTGAGGATGATAGCTTGCCAAACTTTCATCATGTCTTCCGTTGCCGAGATTCCAGGTGCAGTCTTCCATTGTCGAACTATCGATTGCGAAAATACCTTCGCAATGATGACAGATGCTGCGCAAAAGACTGTGTGGGTCAGATGTTGCGGTCCCGATGCAGCTGCCAAGTTCTGATGCAGTGGCGAAAAGCATGGTCAAGCCTCAGGAGGGCAGAGCGTCGGAACGCCGTGCTGAAATTTGTGCATGAGCGGGGTTTTGCATGCAAGCCTTCGAGAAAGTTGTCATGGACATTTTTGGAAAAACCTGTGTGCAGACCTGGTTTCGTTCTGGTGTCTGGCGTGAGCGAGAATGTGCTCAGCGCTGCGGTGTCCCAGTATCGTCGAGGCGAGACCAGATATTTGCACCCTGGGTTCAACCGACCTAGTCCGGTGATGGAACAGATGCGTGGAGCTGTGTGGGCTCTCATTGATGAGCTTCAAGAGCGAATGCCGTTGAAGGATGATGGGCCTGATGCATATCATATGCCCTTTCACGACAAGATCTTTTTGTTCAGATTGCTGCAGCAGTGGTACAAAAAGCGTCTTCAAACTGGCGCAGCGCCCCTGATGCAGCAGGCGCCGAACAAAAACACTTTTTATGCCTTGCTACGCGAACCTGAATTCCACAAAGTGCGCTTCCATCGACAAGTGGAGATGGGACGATGCCCCATTTGCTGCGTCCTGCAGTTCTTTGGCAAGCCATAGACGACTTTGTTTTTTCAGGTCTCATAGGAGTCCTCACACCTACTAGTACTTAAGTGTGGGGGCATTGTGTGGTCAGCCGATGTCAGTGCTTCCCGAGTCCCATGTAAGGTACATGTGCATGAGCTGCGAAGAATCCAGACGAGGTCACTGGCAGAGTTTGTTCGCTGAGCACCAGTTCTTGCAGAGAGCCCAAAAGAAGGAGTACGCGAACGCCAGGATCCGGGCTGCGGTGAACTATCCTGCTCAGGAAGCCTACTTGGCCATGGATGGTGGGAGCGGCTTTGACTTTGTCCTCCCTCACTTGGCAGGCAAGGACATGGAGCTGCCATCAAAAGCACTAGCTGGCTCGCACACGGTTCCGATGAAGGTCCAGAATGGGCTGGTGCATGGAGACCACCGCAGCCACGTCATTTTGTCCCCTGGCGTGATCCGAAGCGGAGCAAACTACATCTGCGAGTGTCAGCTCATCTTGGTGAACACAATCTTTGACGACCATGGTGATGTGCCGCCCCTGATGTCCTTGCAGCTGGACAACGCTCCGTCCAACCACAACATCTTGGTGCTCGTGTTCAACGCCTTGTTTGTGTTAGAGCAAGTGACCACCCAGAACCGGGTGCGCTTTGAGCTTCCAAACCACGCGCATGACATCTATGATGCTTTCCATGCAATTCACGCAAGAACTGTGAGTGGGACATCGTTCTACTCCTTGAGGGAGCTGGACGAGGTCATTGTGCAGTCGCACTCGGGTGCTCATGATCGGGCCGTGGCCAGCAAGGGGCCCGCCGAAATGGGCCACGATGTTAAGGTTTCACACTTGTGGAAGATTCGAGACTTTTGGGAATGGCTGGCGCCAGGCTACAGTGATCCTAGCTCCCGTTTGGATGCCCTGTCTCGCGCTAGCTTCATCTACTACGACCAGCTGTCTGGCTACCACGATTTTCTTTTGAAGCAGGAACTTGGGTCAGGTTAGTGGCCAGAAACCGTAAACACCAAGTCTCTGTGGACCTTAAACCCTGAAGCCCAAGCCCCAAACCGTAAACCCTACACAACGTGGCAATTAAGGAACCTTCATCCACCCCTTCCAATGCGCGGGTCGGGCTGTGGGCCAAGAGGTACATGTCAAGTCCAGCTGCAGACTATGCACACGTTGGAACTCTGCTCACGCGCGAGATGTTCGATGCAGTGGTCGGCAGCCGATGCCCACCTCTCCAACGCTTGAGCTCCGCGGCGCAGAAGATGACGCGTGAACAAAAAACCTTGAACAAGATCTCTAGTCTCATGCAAGGCCCCTACGGGATGCAATTTACAGAGCAGCGCATGGCAGATGCGAAAGCAATGTGCGAGCGGAACTGGGGTCACTTTCAGGACACTCCTGGAGAGCTTCTGTTTGCAAGGGCAAATGTTTTACAAATGTTTGCAGGGCCATGTTTTTTGAACGCCACGAAGCAACCTTGTTTTTTTTTGCCTGCCAAGGAATTGCCGGCGGATGGCCGGCTGAATCTGCTGCCCTCTGAGCTGGCCAGGAAGCTACTCGAAACGGGGAAGAGAGGCATGGTGCCTTTGAGGGCAACTACAAATGTTGAAAGCGGCCCAAGCCGCGCTTTGGCCAGATGCATGGAGTATGACAAGACAAAGAACGCTCGCCAACGGACGCATAGCATGGCTGACTACTACGGCATTGACCGTGGTGAGGGCGTGCAGCTGGTAGCAAGCTATGGGACGCAGCCGCGAACGACTGAAGCTTTTCTGTCCCAGGCAGTGGCGACTGGTGGCTTTGTGGCAACGCGAGCTGCGCAGAACTCAGCTCTTAAGCAGATGATTCCAGACCTGGAGCTCATGCCGTACTGGGTGTGGCAGATCTTGAGGATATATCAGCCAGGAGAATCAGTGCAGCATCGCGATGGGAAAGCCACAGTGGCCACTGAACCTGTGTATGAGGCTCAGATCTTTGTCGCAGCAAGTCCGGAAACCGTGCAGGGGAAGTTGCAAGCGTGCTGGGAAATCCAAGCAGGCGGTGCGTTTCTTCGCACTGCGGAGGAGAAACAGAAGAGGCAGGTAAACAAGTTCTGGGGGAAAAAACGGAAGACGACAGCTGCTGACAAGCAGGCCCGTTTTAAGCTTCCACTGACTGCCTTCTTGCGGCCAGCCAATGTTGTAGGGGGCGGTTTCCACTTAACCCCGGCAAGGCAGTTGCCCGCCTACGTCCGTTTGTACCTGAATGGAGAGTTTGACGTGCAAGCCTAAAAACATTTGATGCAGTGGCAATGCCTTCCTGCGGCGTCAGACCCATCTGTCACTTGAGGGTTGAGGGGCGTGAATTTTCAGGGCTGAGGGTTGAGGGCTGAGTGAGGGCTGAGGGCTAAGGACTGAGCAAAGGTCGACGGTAGGGGTGCCTACGGCTGAGGGCTGAGCAAAGGTTGAGGGTTTCACGATAGGCAAGGGGTTAGGGGTGGGCTGAGGGCTAAGGGCTGAGTGAGGGTTGAGTAAGGGTTGAGGATAGGCGGGGTTTAGAGCTTTGTGTTGAGATTCGAGGGGTGAGTGTTTTGACTTGCAAGTGGGTTGCTTTCCTCAAGGGAGGTCTCGAAAACAAGGCCCCAGGTCC